GCGCATCGATTCCCAACCCAAACGCGTTCGTGGCCACAATCAACCGCCCATCGCCACACTGCCACCGTTCCATGATTGCCTCTTTCTCCTCTTGATCACCTACCTCGCGATAATACTGGTGACAACCTAATGCCTTGCTCAACTCCTGGGTCCGCTCAATGCTTCCCCCATACACAATGATCTTGGCGGGCGCTGCATACTGCTCCAACTTCTCACCCACTAACTGGCAAATCGCCTCTGTCTCATCGCTCTCGTCAGCATACTCGTGAACGGAATACGCAATGTTGGGCCGCGTCGTGGGTCCCCGAAACGTCTGCACCTCTTCCAGCTTAATCTTCATAATTCGCATGAACTCGGGCTCGGTATGCTTTGGCAACGTGGCTGTCAAAAACACCATCTGTACCTCCTGCGTGGATAATGCCCCCAACTGCTGCATCTGGGGTCGGAAATCGGGCGTGCTGTCCATGACGGTGTGACACTCATCAAACACAATGCGGACCAACTCCCGTCGACCCTGCAACTCGTTCAAAAACGTACCAAACGACTTGCTGACTGCTGACTCAGGCGTGACGATGACAATCTGTGCTCGCATTTCCCCCATGCGCTGACTATCCCACTTCGTACACGAAATCCCAACCTGCTGACACCGCTCCACCATATGGGCCTGCAACGACACCAACGGCGTGATGACAATCGTCGTCCCGGATGACACGCTCTTTGCGGGAATCTGGAATAACATTGACTTTCCTACGCCGGTCCCCATCACCACCAATATGGGGCTCTCGTGCTTCATGATCGCCTCCAACGCGGGCTTCTGCAACCCACGGAACTGCGTGCCGGCGCCAAACATTTCTTCCAATGCCTGCTGGGTGTCAACCGTCTGCAACTTCTTCCACCGCTGCGCCTGCACCTCATCCATCTCGTCCTCAAACGATGGACGCTTGCGCTTGGTTCCGCGCGTGGCGTCGCCCTGACACGTCGATGCAAACTCCAAAAACTGATGCCACGTACAACTTACCTGTCGAAACTTCTCCCGACGGCTGATGATGGTATTGTTGCCCTCCATCAACTCGCGGGCGTAAATCATGCCTGCGATATGCGTCCCATGCCCGGCTTGCAAATCCCACGGGTCGTCGCCCGCTGCATTATCCTCGTCCCAATTCTCATCGGGATCCCACTTCCCGCTCTCGTCCTCGAATCGATTTTCTCGACAAAACCGCTGTGATATGGCAATGGCAATCTGCCGCCACGCACTGATGCTTAATATGGACTGGCTTCCCATCCATCAAACGCTGGCCTCCTGCATGATCTTCCGCACCCGCTCGGATGTCCATGCCAATTTTGTCCGCCGCCCCTTTTCTTCCTCCTGGCTCTTCTCCTTTTCCTCTTTTGTTCCCTTCTTCCCCTTACCCTTCCCCTTTTTCATACCTCCCTCTGGACCGGTCCACTGACGATGCTCTTTCTTCTCAGCATCCCCCCATAAAAATGCACTGGACACAACCTTTCCTGTCATCTGGAACTGGATCTTCTCCCAAAACGGCAAAACTATCCACAAATAATATACCAACAACTCTCCAACTTCTTTAGGTAAATATCAATGGATAATCTTGATGTTGCTGCTGCTGCGGTACCCCTTATGGTACTGGCCGACCAAACCCACCAACCCGTTCTCTATGATGACGTTTCGTACGCCCCCGTTGGCTGTATTCTTCCACCGCAACCCCAAAATCTCTGTTGCACGACTGGGCTGCCCGGCACATAAATGGATCAATATCAACAACAACTCCAAAAACCGCTCCACGTGTCGTTGGTATGCCTCACCGGCACCGGGCTTCAACAACCCGTCGTCATCCAAAAACTGCTCCCGCAACGCCTGCTCCTGGTATAACCGCTCAAACAACCACCACTCCTTGTGGGCGCCGAATTTATTTCGTTCATCATCCAAAAACGACCAACCCACCTTGGTCTCTGACGGCTGGTTGACGGTGTTGTCCCAATCGATGCTGGGAACGCCCCCCTCGTCCGTGACTACCATCAACTTCCCAAACAACTCGTCTCGTGCCTCCCCGATCAACCCATGCACCATGCTCCGCAACTGCGACATCTGGACACGGGTGCCGGGGTATAACACCTCATCTTGAATCCATTGGATCTTCCCTGCCGCTGGCGTGGTGTATCGTATCTTGAATCCGTACGAACGGGTCTGATATATCCACTGCATGGGCGTGGGATCGCGGCCGCTGTGGGCCATGGTCGTGAATTGGGCGACAAACTGCTTCACCAACCGGTAATAACTGGTCGCCTTCTTTCGCGCTTCAACCTCTGTCATCTCACTCTGATACGTACGAATCTGCTCTTGCCTCTGCTCGTACGCCTCCTGAACAACCATCAACCGTGCCAACTTGATCACCGCCGAATATTTGGTTGTGAAATCCTCGGCATCGTGCCATCCTTTGTCCCCCTTTATCATCAATACGGCCAAACCGCTGATGATGGGGCTCTGGTACTCATTGTCTTGTAACGGGTGGTCTAACAACGTGATGCAAAACCGCAATACCTCCCGCTGGATCTGCCGCATCCATTTGGTCTCTTCGGACATCTCATCCTCGAAACCCTCATCGACTTCTTCAGCCGCCCCTTCGACGCCCTCTACCCCCTCGCCATCCTCCCCATCATCAAACCCCTCATCTTCCTCACGGTCTTCGCCCGCCGCGCTCTTCTCCTGCTCCTGCTTCCACTCCTGAAACGCCCCGATCTTATCTCTCACGGTTTGCATGGCCGACTGCTGCGCCTCGGTCAACACGTACGGGGGTCGGAACTCGGCCTCGTCATCCTCGGCTCGGATCACAAACAATAACAACTGCTTCCACACCTCGACATACCGCTCGATTGTTGTGATATCCATCCAACTATCAAACGGCATGTTCGTCTCTTTCTCCGCCTCCTTCTTATTGGCCTCAAACAACGTATGTATCCCAACCACATCCCGTACAGCATGGTGCTGTGCGTCTTGAATCAACCACTCGAATGCCGTGCACATTATGGCTAAATGGGGTTCATCCTTTTCGTCAACCGGCTCAACAAACTCTCGTACTTCCTTCCAGTCGACGCCGGCCAAATGGGTGATGCACCCAACCCGCCTTAACCATGGACTCGGCTCTTTGGCTTCGTCGGTCTCCTTGATCTTCCGGTTCTCCTCCTCCTCGGCCTTCTCAAACGCACGCTGCATCTCCTGCTTGGCCACCTTGAACTGGTCTGTCCAGGACGCCATTCGTGGGGTGGGACGTGGCTCTGTCTCGACGGGTTGGACCTCGAAATACCGTGATTTGGGTCCCTGCTTGAAAAACCGTTGGCAATGGGCTCCTGTCCGCCACAGGACCTTCGCGGCTGGTTCTGGCTTCTGCATCCAGGGCCGGCCTCCTTTCTCCTTGCTCTTCCATCAATGCTCATCCCAACTATGCTTTCGCATCCATCGCTCGGTACAGCACACGTACGGGCACTGCTGGCCATTGATGGTTTCTGTACACCGTAATCCATCCGTCGCTGGGAATCGTAACGCTGCAATGGCCTGGGTTGTGGCTGTGGGGAATGGGAACTCATACTTTGATAACTCTTCTTCATTTTGTATTAATCCGTTTACCTTGGCTACCTCTTGTATAATCCTTTCCCTCGCCTTCTTGTTCAATTGGTGGTTTTTGGCTGCAAAATGGGTATCGATTTTGCTGGGTAATATGGCGTACTGACACTTCTTGCAAACTATCACTTGGAAACTGGGCAAATGAATAAACTGATCCATTATGTGCGTGCTCTTTCCACGTCTACTCTCCACGTCCACTTTCTCTGTCTACTTTCTCTGTCTATTATACTCCCTTTGCCTTCTAACCTTTTGCCTACTGTCTTACCTTCATTTCGAAATCTTCCCCTGATTTTGCGCCTCTCCTGGGAATTGACGCCACCATCAACGCCCTGCTTATCTAATCGTAACCCTAACCCCAACGTCTTCATAACCCTATTGTCACCAACAACATGGAATTTGGTTATTCTAATCCCAGGAATGGAATTGGGGGGGTCTTATTACCTTACATCTCAAATTGCAAAGTGTTGTGGTCTCTCTACGATGAATTACAAAAACCCGGAGCCATCTCGAAATTTAACTTGGAGCCATCCCCTGGAAACGAAGATCGACAAAAACGACCGGGGTTATTATTGGTCCACAACCCGGAGGCATATATGCCTCCAGCAGACAATTGAGGATAGGCCTAGAAATATATTAAAATATTTACTACCTCTATTCTAATCTCTAAACTAACTCTACTATTGCATCTCTATACTGTCACTACTCTATAAATGCTTATCACTATATATATACTATGTAAACTATAAATCTTATAATTATTCTTATATATCCCCCCCCTCTACTATTTCTATTAAAAATAATATTATCTTTACTAACTTAACTCTAATCCCTAAACTAACTTTGTTATTATGTTTCTACACCCTAACTACCCTATACCTAATTATTACTACATATGTGTTAAATAAACTACAAATCTTTAAGCCCTTCTAAAAAAAAGTACTCCCCTCCTTCCCCCCTTCCTACTATTAAATATCTTTATATCTCTACTAACTATTTTCTAATCTACAAACTAACTTTACTAGTACATTTATATGCTAAAACTACCCTACAAACAATTATTACTACATACTCCCTAAGTTAACTACAAATGTTTAACCCTACTAAACTATACTACCCTACTTTGAAATATAATAATATTTTGCCTAATCTTGCTCTCTGCTCTCTCTGCTCTCTCTCTGCTCTCTCTGCTCTCTCTGCTCTCTCTGCTCTCTCTGCTCTCTCTGCTCTCTCTGCTCTCTCTGCTCTCTGCTCTCTGCTCTCTGCTCTCTCTGCCCTCTGCTCTCTCTGCCCTCTCTGCTCTCTGCTCTCTCTACCCCCCTCTACCCTTATAACCCCCCTTTCCCCCTCCCCCTCTAAATCTAAAGGCCTTCTGGTGTAACGTTAGCACTCCTGATTCTAAATCAGGAGGTTGTGGGTTCAACTCCCACTAGGGCCCCTGACATCTCCAACTGTGACTGTCTTATAGTTACTGTTGGAGATGTTCTTTTCTCTCCCCTTTTGTCTCCCCCTTTTTTTTTGCCCCTTTTCTAAGAAAGGGGGAGGTGTTAAGGGGCTAGGCAATTAGAGGCCTCCCTATATTGTAGGACAGGTGCTAGTAGGGTAGGGCAAGCTACTATATATAACACCTAGTATAGGTTTCTTAGCTATACTACACTTCTTATACCCTATAATAGTAAACATAACATAAGGGTAAGGCTTCATTTCGTCTTGTCTATAATCCTACAAACAACCCCCAGCCCCCCTGTCCACAGCAGCTGGGATTTTAAGGTTGGCGGCTTGTTCTGTACAGCTTGCTGCTGCCGTTCCCGCCACGCAGCCCAAGTTCTACATTTTCCTAGAGACGCCTGAGACAATAGCAGGAATCTGGGGCTCTCTCTACAGTAGCTAGGATCTCGAGATCAGCGGCTTGTTTTGTGCAGCTTAGCGCCATTGTTCCAGCAGCACAGTCCAATCTCTGGTTTTCCTAGAGACGCCCGAGATAATGGCGAAAGCCTACCGCTCCTCCTATAGTAGCTAGGATTTTGACGTTAGGGGCTTGTTTTGTACAGCTTAGTGCTACTGTTCCTGCTGTGCAGTCTGATCTCTAGATTTCTAAGAGACGCCTAAGATAATGGTAAAGGTTTAGCGCTCCTCCTATGCTAACCTAAAGCAATCCCCTACTCACTCGCTACAGCATGTACTCTGTTGATGTTAAGAACAGCACCCTAAGGTGCTTACCTAGCCACCCCTTACCCCTAGCCTCTATATACACCCTGTAGCACGCCCCTATTACTATAGGTTTAGGAGTAGCATGTGTATAAGTCTAATACACTAGCTTATAATAGTATAGAGGAACTAGAATAGCTACGCATATGTATAACTCTCTATCTCTCTTATTATAACCCCCCTGTCTCTTATTTACCCCTTAGCTACTACTAGGTCTTATATAAGTCTATACAAGGTGTAGTAAGGGGCAATTCAAAGGGGGTAGGCTAGGATAGACTATGTCTACCTCTAACCTTTAGAGCTCTTGCTTAGTAGCTCTAGGAGCACCTTTACCCCTAGGATGCCCTCTGTATTTAGGTCTTTAAGGAAGACCTTTGTAAAGAAGAGGGGAAGGAGGGAGCTGTAGTGCATAAGGGGAGATGTAGACGGGATGGCAAACGCCTCCCTTATCCCTAGCTCCTCCTGCCTATGCCAAAACAAGCTTACTACTCTAGTAATAAACTTTAGGTTGTAGCAGGTAAGCACGCCCCTCTGCTCCCTCTTTATAGTACTACAGATTGTAGTAGGGAGGAAGCAGGAGAAGCAACAGCTGTCATCCTTTAGGAGCGCCCTCTTCCTATCCTTAATAGAGCAGGAGATGGGCCACTCTAGCTTATTCACCTCCTTACTTAAGGGGCAGCTAAATGTGATGTGGCTACCTAGGGGCTCTTGTAGCAAGGAACAATAGATGCAAGAAGAGGAGAGCTCTTTAATCCTCGCCTTAAACTCCTCTCTATTCCTCTCTGCATACATGCTAGAGGACTTTATAGCACTTATTGTACAGGAGAAGGCGTGCTGCCTACTGAGGCAGCACGAGCAGGGCTCCTCCTCCCTAGAGCACTCGTCTACAAAGGAGGAGTCTAGGAAGGGGGCTATGACCCTTCTCTTACACACCCCCTCCCTAAGATACTTACAAAGGGTAAGGCGGTCGAGGGAGTCGCTAGCCCTGTCCTCCTCCTCGTCCTTGCTATGAAAGAAGACGGAGGATGACTTCCTACCATCCCTCCCCCCCCTCCCGCTCCCTTGCAGGAAGCTAAGGAACAAGTATGCAAAGTCCTTATACACCACAAGCCTTACGCTAGGGTAGTCTAGCCCCTCCTCTAGAGCGCTAGAACTCACTAGCACTCTCGTGTAGAGGCTGTCCCCCTTTAGGAACCCTTGCAGCACGTCCTCCTTCCCCTCTAGGGAGGAGTGGTAGACAGGGCACCCTAGGGCCTCGCCCATCTCTACTATAGAAGGGACAGTAGGGCAGAAGATGAGGATCTTGTCACCAAGGCCCCTAAGCTCACGCTTGTAGGCCTCTACATAAGCCCTCACCTCCTCTATATGCTCCTCATCGCTTGGCGACGTATAGAGCCTCATGTTATAAGAGATGTCCCCTCTACTTGTAGGGGCCCTGATCACGCTAAGGGACTCTAGCTTTAGCGTCTGCTTAAGCTCCACCTCGTAGGCAAAGGGCAGGGTCCCTGTGAGGAAGACAAACTGCGTAGGGAGGAGGAGGATCTCTATAAACCTATACATTATAGATCTATAGCTTGACGAGGATAGGAGCAGGTGACACTCGTCTACTATGATCCTATCTAGCTTGCTGTCCTCGATGAGATTCCGTAGGTAGAAGACAAAGTCCTCCCTTACCATAGTCTCTATAGAGATAAGGATAAGGCTACTAGCCTCTACCCCTTGCCCTAGTCCCCTAGGCCCTTCCTCATATGCTACGCACGGGATGTTAAAGGCTGTCGCCCTCCCCTTAATATCCTGCTTTAACCCTACTAGGGGTAGTATTATGATGGACACGTTAGACGTGGCTAGGGAAGCTGTAAGGAGATAGCTCAGGGACTTCCCACCGTTTGTAGGGAGTATGGCGAGGATATAGGGCACCTTTAGCAAGATGGCCCTTACTAGGAGCTCTTGCTCCCTCACCCTAAACGACGCTAAGGGGTCATTAAGGAACTCTTGTAGTAGGTGGAGGAGCGTAGGGGAGGCAGAGGTTGAGGAGCTAGACATGTTGTTAAGCTCGTCCACCCTCACCCTCACCCTCTTCACTATGAGGTTGTTCTGCAAGGCGCTTGTAATGCTAGACCTGCCCCTTAGATGCTTCCTACTGCCACTGCTAGAGGAGGTCGTAGAGGGCAGGGAGGAGGCAGCGCCCTTTTGAAAGCGCAGTGCAAGCATAGAGCCCTGTGCTGTCTTAGGCCCCCCTCTATGACCCCTATCCCCTAAGGCACTCGCAAAGGGGTGAGGGGGGTCCGCGCTAAGGTTGAGGATGTGGAAGTAGGCAAAGAACCTTAGGCAGAACTCAAGGTGCCTCCTCTGCACGCCCTCCTTGACATTTACAAAGGTAGAGGCGCTCCTCCCATAGTTGAACTCCTCTGTAGTGGTGGAATGGTTCATCTGCAATGCCCTGATGTCCCTAAAGGAGTCCCTGCCCCTGCTACTAGTAGGCGTCGCCTCCTCTCCTAACGTGAGAGTCTCCCCATCTAGCGCCTCCCCCATGAACTCCCTAACCACTGCCACGATGAGCTGCCTATACACTTGTATGCCTATCCTCTGTCCTAGGACTAGGTTGCTAAACGTGCTTAGCTTGATGCTAAGCTCCCTAGAGGTGAGGATCTGCTTCTCGTGGCAGAAGAAGTAGCAGCTTAGCGGAAGCAGACGCTTATAGGCAGAGCGAGAGGGCATAGATGCAAGGTTGAGGAAGCCTACAAACGGGGACACGAGCGTGATGTAGAGGAGGAAGACCCTAGACGCCTCCCTACAGAGGTATCTTATGTTTGAGGTCTCCTTCTCCCTCTGCTCCCTCCCCTTGTAGTAGGAGATGTTAAGGACGAAGAGGTGGCTCGCCTTGTCTAGGAACATCTCCCGCTTGTCCTTGTAGGAGTTGAGGAAGCGGAGGGTAGTAAGCTCTGTCCCCCTTAGGGGGAGGCCGCTCGTGTAGTGGACCATGAGGAGGCATAGCTTGAGGAACTCCTTCACGTCCCTCATGTAGGCCCTTACTGCAATGGGGCTTAGCACTAGCTTGTCCTCTTTGCCTGTCATAAAGAACCGAGCCCTCTGCAAGGGCTCCCTAAGGATGTAGTCCCTTATGAGGGCATTGTTCTTAGGACAGGTAGGGTGGAAGTCACGGAAGCACTTATAAGGTGCTGTGCTAGAGGCGTCCTCTACAGCGCTAAACTCCTCTAACGAGACATGCCTATACTCCTCGTGAGGTAGCCCTAGGAGCAGCTTCTCCCTTAGAACTTGTGAGGGGGTGAGGATGGCCTCCCTAAACAACTGGCGAAGGTCATCCACGCTAATGGTAACCTTCTTATAGGAGAGCGTCTCCCTTATAGTAGAGCTGATGATGATGCTAGAGAGGGAGGACAGCTCCTTGTTCACCTTAAAGCAATAGGACCTATTGTTAAGGATCTCCCCTAACGGTGTAGGCGCGCCATTATGAAAGCAGGAGGACATCATATCCCTTATGATGGACGTAAGGGAGCTTGCCTCGTCCCCTCTGCTTATGACGTAGGAGAAGGCATACTCGATGACAATGAGCTGCGAGCAGTAGATGAACTTTGAGTAGAACTGCGAGAAGTCTAGGGAGTCCCTCATGCTAAGGTCCTCCCTTATGCTCTTGCACGCGAGGAAGGAATGGATAGGGCTCTTGAACAAGTACAGGTTCGTCTCCTGCTTAAACAAGCTAATAAGCAGGCCTAGTAGCTTCCTCTTTATAGAGGCAGAGGTAGCATCGTCATCCTTACTTAAGGATACTACCCTGTCTAGTATAGAGGCTGACCCTACGGAATTCATAGAGGATGTAGTAGAGGAGGAGGAGGAGGAGGGGGAGGAGGACGAGGGGGATGAGGGGGGAGAGGTAGGGGCAGTAGTAGTAGAGCCTTCCTCTGCCTCCCCCCCCCCCCCCCCTCTATGCCATTGTCGTCCTCTTCTTCCTCATCCTTATCATCCTCATCATCACTTAGCGCCTCTAGGTCAAAGTTCTTTAGCTTCTGCTTGTTAAGCCTTAGGCTTAGGGACTTCTGGATGCTATAGAGCCTTGCCCTCTCCCTCCTACCCCTGTCCCCGTCCTCCCCTTCTTGCTCCCCCCTAAGCTTTAGGGCCGCGAGCCCCTCTAGCTCCCCTAGGCACTTACAAAGGGTAGGGGGTAGGGCGTAGAGCCTTAGCGCCCTGCACCCCTTATCCTTATAGCTGCGG